AACCAAAAAAGAATGCTGTTTTAACAGATTGAACACCACTGCTTCATGTCTTTGTGCTTTTCTGTGAATAGCGCTAACATATAAATTGATTAATGTGAGTGTGTACCTCTCAGAATTTTTGTTAAAGCACAGGGAGCATAATTCCCCCCAATTGAAGACCTTTTGTTTTTAAAAAGCAACTACTTTGCATTAAAAAGGTCATATTTTGGTTTTAGGAGTCTCCAACAACAGTCTGATATGCGTGCAAGGTCATAACACACTTTCATTGTCTTATAATATGCAGGTTTTTACCTAATTTTCCAAGTGACTCCCATATGAATTGTTTAGCGATACATTTGTTTCCAAACTTCTCCTTAGCGCAAAGCTAATCTGCGCTGATTGAGCCGATGACCCAGTCTGTTGCGATTTGGTTGACCGCGTTCAGCACGAGACCGAGAGAAAAGCCCACTACGGCTATGAAATAGCAACCAGAGAGTATGTGAGAGCCCAACGCTGGAATGCAATAAATGAATGCAGTTAAACACCAGCATGTTGCTCTACTCCCTAAACCTAACCCCAATTAATAACAACACACACTCAGTATTAATCCACACAGTAGCAAAAAATTGAACTATTGACCGCGCCACCATGTGTGTAAAAACGGCTGATGGTGGCCATAACAAAGGCAAACAGCAGAGGATCGCCAGCTTAGAAACGCAATAAAAATCGATAAAGGAAGAAGCGCGCGTTGCGTTTTTAACGTGGTTTTGGACGCGATATGTGAACAGCCCCATACAGATTTAACCTGAGAGATACAGTACAAGCACTGATCTATAATAGATGTGATTACAAGCCACGCTGAGAGATTACAAGTTACAACACACAATTAAACACATAATTGCATACTGCACAAAACGAGGCAACAATTTTAATGACACTTGTTCTGATCCGGAGGAAGAAGAAACTTGTCCTTGTGAACTGTAGAAGTTACTGACAAAGTCACTGTCAAAGTCTGACAAAGTCCCATAGTCTCTGCTGGGGTTGGGTACCGAAACCCGGTGCCATACTTTGGAACCGGTATGCACCGGATCAAATCAGCATATGAATTTCAGTCCCTAATTTCGGTGCTGCAACAAGAACGTAAAGCAGGTCGCACATCAGAAGCGCCGCTTGGCGACGCGCAGCACCATGCATTTTAGAATTCGCAAGTCAGCGGCTGTCCGCGACGCCCAACCACGACTCATGACTGTTTATATTTCTACCATGCCATAGAGCGCCATCTGAGTAGTTTCATTTTAAATAACATGCGAATGTGTCTGGTGTGTGATACTATCAACTGTCATGTGCGCTCCGTGCTGCGGGTCTGAGCGGCGCATCCGCTGTGTGTCATGCTTAAGAAGCATAAAGGGGTGCATTATATTCACACATAAGTAAGCGCTGTGTCACACCATCTCTAAATGTTTAATTCTAAACAGCTTTGAGAGATACGGATGTCAGGCGTTATTGTACATTATTGTTTTATTGTACATTATCTGAGTACATTCATTGATTTTAATATAATTAAAACGATACTCTGATCACGAGACTACTACCAGAACAGTGATATTTGATTATCTTAAAGGACCACAGACACAAACTGCGGAGGAAACATTTATAGGCTGGTGACGCGATGGCGTTGATGGATCTATGTGCTATAACATGTAGCTGGGAATCATGAATGTAACATTCAAAAAGCAACTTATGTAAACCCCTGAATCATATTATTGTCTTATTCAGATTAAGGCAAATCATTAGATCACTGATGTCCATGTAAAAGTAGTCACAAGCCCCTAACCCAGAAAAAAGGTGTTCCCTGATTTTGATGACAGCCTTTCCACAGGTTAGTAGTAAGCTAATTAAATGTTAATAGCATAATGCAAATCGTGCATTCATGCTAACAAACACATGATCAAAAGAAATATATTATTGGAATTCAAATAAATAAAATATGAATTGATGTTTATTTTAAATGTATTATAAATATATATATTTATATTGTTCAATTATAATTATATATATATATATATATATATATATATATATATATATATATATATATATATATATATATATATATATATATATATATATATATATACCAGGCACCGTTTTAGCACCAGTACCATTTTAAAAGTATCGATTTAGCACCGATATCGAAAAAAACCCAAACGATACCAAACCCTAGTCTCTGCTGCTACTTCAATTGCAAATTGCCGGCAAATCCCGTGCTGCAGCATAGGTTATTGTATCAAAAATCAGAAAACGACAGGAACAAACACAGCACTAGGTTAGCTATACTGTGGTGTTGTTGTGAAAATGAACTTTAACCCTTTTTTCCCCCGCAGACGGGGCCAGCGCGTCCATATATGGGATCCAGGCGGCAGAATAGAGAGAGGGCACTCGTCACTTTCATCCACGATAATCCCCACCCACCGCACTGGTTCTCGCTGTCGCACGCGCAATTACAACCCCGTCCTCGTTT